GGGGGGGGGGTTCAAGAGTGATTAAACAGTTTCTGTGGACTCAAGGGCTGCTTTCACACTTAACTTATTTTGTGCAGTTCAACTGAACTGGTTCATTTGGGCTGACGGGCACTCTGTAGTTTAAACCAAAGAGCTGCACTCTTCCTCTGGTTCGGTTGGTGTGAACGCAAAGCAGACCATCCACACAATCATGTGACACAAAATGTATGACAATAAAAAAATAATAAAAAAAAGTAACTGTTAAAGTTCCATTTGCTGATGGTTGGAACCGTCTTGGAAACAATCTCCCATAGTAGGCTCTCTATCATACCTGTCATTGTAATAAAGTGCTCTAACAGCTTCATACCAAAGGAAGCTCATTCGTCAGAGAAGTCTCAATATCCTTGTTGAGAGAGTAATTCGTTTGATGGCATTACACTGTTCCTCTGCATCATATCCCCTTGGCCTCAGCTTCTTTTCTGTTCTCCCTCTGCTACCTCAGTTACTGTCAGCTCTGCTGCTCTAAATACTCTCCTTCCTTCCAGTACTCTCAGAAACGCAGCACTTCACAGTGGCCTTAAAACATATACGAGTATGTGGACGTATTTAGTCGATGAATGTCATTCAAAGTGAATTAAGAATAATATGTTTATTGATTTTCTCTTGAATGTATCCTAACAGATTCTTGATTGAAAAACAATCCTTTTTGCTCTGGTATCACGTGTCTGGGTGTATTTGATAAGATGTGTATATTAGTGTTCATTCCTATTGTTTTTGTGCGTGCAATGTGATGTTAAGTAAATACTATTCAGCACACGTGTGATGTGGAATGTTAACCAAATCGTATCAAGGTTGACCGAGAGAAAATGAGAAGTGATTGAAGCCGTATTATTAATTATTATCAATAATTATTAATTAGGCTGTGTGTGACTATGAGAAACCCCTGGTGTCTTTTTCATATTGAGGTTTAATGTGTACAGCAGGTGCTCAGCGGAAATCATCTCCAAAAGATGTGTAGCAGGTATATAGGACAGGGTATAATGTTTGTATGTTTGTTGAGATTTTAATACTTACATACTTTAATAACTAGTCAAACCAAATACTTATGTTTGAATATTTGTGTTTTCAAGTGTGCCTGTATGTGTGTGTGGGTGTGTGTGTGTATGTGAGCGTGGTGTGCGTACGTGTGGTGTGTGTGTTCTCAAATCTCGGGTTACAGTGTGAAGAATAACTTTGCGGTCTGGTTTAAATGTGTGTTTGCATACTCGCATGCGATTCTGCATCGGCATGTAATCGCGTGATATATACTGTAAAAAGTTTGTATTAGACGAATACACTGTTTATTGCATTTGAATTGGTTGTAGCTTGTATAATAAAGTGGAGCTCTTAAACCTTACATCCATGTGTCGATCCTTTGAAATCATTGTTCCTTTCAGCTGGCAGGGCTCCAAAAACTATCGCCACAGAAGGCCGTGAGCCACTTGCTGCCTAGGGAGCCATTACAGATGGAACAAGGTTGTTCCGCCTGTGTGCCTCTAAGATGGTGGACACCAGAGGGAGACTGGCATTGAGGGGAGAAAATGATAAAACAATCTTAGTGTCTTGTTTTATGAGAGGAGATAGAGAGCTAGATGGGAGGAGGGGAGGCCAGTTGCAGGCTATCTCCTCTCTTCAGTGCTTTTTCCACAGTCTGACATTTTGCTATGTATATCTTGTATTTACAGGAACTGCATTATTATAGGTTTGTTACCACCCATATCTCACTGTGACCTAGACAAGCCAAGTTCAAAATAAAACACATACAGCACAACAACTGACTGCCAGATGACAAGTCATCAACATGTGACACATATAGTACACACCTCCTTCTAGCTGTGCACATCAATACATTTTATAAAGCCTTTCAAATGTTGCAGGCAACAGGAAAAGCAACAATACTCTTCTTCCTCTTTTTGGAAATATGACTTGTGGCTTTTCTGTTTACAGACGAAGGTGTTTCCTGTGCCTTCACAGCTTCATAGAAGATCAACCAACCATGTAGTTAAATATGCCGTGCGGGCTATGAGAGGATATAAGGTCTTACTATGTTTAATATCTTAATTTGTACTGTATCTTGGTTTAAGGCCGGTAGACAAAGAGGCAGTAAACAGACGGAAAAAGCACATCTTTTAGGTGTGATTGTTTGTAGTACCAAAGGAGGGCTCAGTAAGAAGATGTGATGCTGAATCCCCCAAATGACCAGACTCTGCAAACTTCAAGTCCCCATGAACAGATCAGATTTATACCCTTTTGTTCGAGGTTACAGCACCATACTGCATGAAGAAGGATTTTTAAAGATATATATTATTATATTATTATAATATGAAGCATTGACATAATAATGTCACTTGATTTAACAACAAATCTCAAGTTTTCAGGATTTAATACTAGACTAAAAACATGTTGGAATTGATATGTATTTCATCTCATCAGTAGTTTATCTGGTACGTTGACATTTTGCAGTGTTGCACTCGTTTCTGCTGCTATTCCTTGTTTCTCACCGACAGAGGTGGCGTGCCGTCATCTTCCACAGTGACGATGAGTCGATACTCCTGCTGGCGCTCTCGGTCGGGAGGCGCCGGCCGTGTCACCATCTCTCCCGTCACGCGGTCCATGCGGAAGGTCAGGTCCTGGTTTCCCGCAGTGATGTAGTAGAACAGCATGGCGTTGGGACCGATGTCTTCGTCGGTCGCTATCACACGGAGGACAGACGTACCTCCTCCGACATTCTACAATTTACGTCACAAGAGAGGCCTCATTATTGATTACCTATGGTAGAATAAACAAAACGGTGACTGCAAATGGTAAATGCTATAATACAAACTGAAAATCACCAACTATAACAATACGTATATTGTTCAGCTTCTGTTGAAGAACTAGATGCATACAAAATGATAGAAACATGCAAATCCCGTGTGGATACAATGAACATCATGCTCCATGTGATGTGCGAGTGCGTCCCCACCTCACTTATGCTGACGTTGTAGCCCCTCTGGCTTTCAATAACAGGTGCGTTGTCATTGATGTCCAGGATGTTGATGGTGAGGGAGTGGTCTGCGTGTCGGGGAGGTGAGCCATTGTCAATGGCACGCACCTGTAACAACATACACATGCACTGTATACTAGTACGTAAGCCTGACCATGCATTTGGACACATGACATAAACTAACACATAGGGGACAAAGAGAAGTGTCTTCTTTCGTGCTTCTACGCTCAGTCTTGGTACGTCTTGTGTTGGGAGGCAAGATGCAGTGAGCTTTCTTTTAAGTGAAAGTATTGACATGAATAATATTTTAATGTGATCAGAAAAACACACGTTATTTGTATCGTCCAAACTCACACTATTATATTACACATTATTGTATCGTGTCAAAGAAAGTCGGTTTATTTGTCGATGAAACAAGTGTGACACGGAACCATCATTTTTAGGCTGAGGGGAAAAAAGTAGTCAGGGTTGTGTACGTGTAAAATGTGTACGTGGCCATATAGATATGTGGTGAAAGTTCATAACTGCATGTGGACTGCTGCCTGACCTTCAGTAGGTAGCGGTCTACTGACTCTCTGTTCAGAGCAGCATTGACAAAAACCTCCCCGTAGGTGTGGTTCACTGTCTTGATCTTGAACACATCCTCCATGTTGCCTGCCACCAGAGTGAAATTGACCTGAGAAAGAGTAATGAGTCAGAAGGAGACAAAGAGAAAGCGGGAGAGAAAGATGGACATTGAAAGAAGGAAAATGTAACATTATAACAACAGCTTAGGTTCAGTCAGAAAACTCTAATCATAAAGTTACCCATAATGTATGAATAGTTTAATAATTGTATTTGGCGGTGTAGGTTCTACATGTTGAATAAATCACATCACAAGCTAAAGAATGGAGTAACAGAACCATTATAACTGAGGGACAAGAGAAGGCTGGGTTGGTGGAGAGAAAAGCTAGTACAAGCAGGTTGTACGGAGGTAAAGTTAAAACGCTCATGCTCAACAATGTGTCCTAGTCTTCAGCATGTATAGTCGGTCGCATTAAGACAGTCAAACACGTGGTGCTTGGAACCGTGTGTGTACACAGAGCAACAACAAACCGCAGTCAAATGACTTCTATGTGTAAACATACGTGGCCCGGTAACCTCACTTGAGTCGCTATTTGTTATTGACAAAAACGGTGAAATATAGCATTATTTCAGTGGAGGAACATGTTTTGTGCTGTAAAGTAACATTGTTTCGTGCTATAAAGCACTGTAGATGATTTAATATAATACTAATAACAACTAAAATGACAATATAAATACTAATAACACTAATACTACCACTACTAATATTTTGATATAGCCTATTTATGCATACAATGCAACACAAAGTGCTTAATGTTAAGTTCCCTGTCAAACACAAGGTAGGACATACACATGTTGGAAGAGCTCGTCTTCTCGGTGATAATCCTTTATAGTAATTACTGTTATCTGTTAGATTATTGTTATAACAATCTGTTGATGAGATGACAAGACATTTGTTTATTCTAACTGTCTCCTTCTTCTTTATTCTCACCAGTCCGTTTAATCCACCATCTTTGTCCCTTCCCAGCACCACTGCCACTTTTTTCCCCATGGGTGTGTTCTCTGGGACGTCCACTGAAGTATCTGATGTGATATCAAACTCTGGACTGTTGTCATTCTCATCCAGAATGGTGATCGAAACCTGCCGAGATCAAAATATAAGCTCAATAACTTGCAACTCAACGAAATACTTACCTTTGAAATTAATCAAATAACCCAAATCCTAAAAATTGGAGATACTGCAGATTAATACATTTCCTGTTGCCTTTCATACTCTAAACCATCTTAAAAACAAACAAACAGAAAGTCTTACCTTCTGCACTTCCAATGTGAGATGCAATGAATAAAAGAGGAATGCCATTAAGTTTTCTACAACAGACGAGACACAACACATGCTGTAATAAATAGAATGTTGTACATGAAAAGAAGATAAAATAACACAATTCAGAATGAAGCATACCACAGTGGAGTCTTTTTTAGGTCCTCCATCATCAGCTACAACAGTCAAGGTGTACATGTCCCCCTTCTCTCTGTCCAGCTGGCCTGTCACAGTGATGCGGCCCTGAAGCATCACACACATCAGCACATATCTCTGCCTCCATAAAGTTTGCATACAAGGTAGAACTCGTCTAATGTGACAGACAGTGAGCAAGGACAGAGACTAACAAGTATCATAAAAATCAACAACAACAAATCCCCATTTCTCATCTTTCAAAGGAATCAAATGGCTTCAAAGCAAACAAGCTCTTTGATCAGCGTACAGTCATGCAGCAACACGCTTAAATCACAGGGGAAGAGGTGTTATTGAATCCCCCTGTGGTTAATGGATGCATCCTACTTGACAGAAGGTGGGCACAGTCTTTGAAGCTTACAAAGAAAAGAGGTATGTACATTGTGCTCCTATCGCCGTTGACCTTTCCTCCGCTGCTCCTCCACTCACCGTGATGCTGTCTATCTTGAAGAGGGCCAGAGCCGCAGGCGATGTATCAGGGTCGAAGCGGTAAGTCAACTGATTCAAGTTGTCGGCTGACTGTGCCCGCACCTGCACTACCTCCGTCCCCGTGGCAATATTCTCACGGAGCGAAGCCTCGTAACCGGCGGAGAAGAAGGCCACGGCCTCGTCCAACTCATTAAGTAGCGTGACGTAGACGGTGCAGAAGCCTTGGTGGAAAGGTGGCGCCTGGTCAGTGACCGAGACGTTCATCAAATAGGTGGTCTTGGTCTCGTAGTCCAGGTAGTCCACAGTGGTTACCAGGCCAGTGCTCACGTCCACCCCAAACTTGCGGTCTGAGCCGGACACGAGGGCGTAAGCAACAGCTCCGCCATCACCTGAGCAGGAAGAAAAGGCGGTGTTGGTGCGGACAAGCTTAAAATAATAACTTTAAAACAAACTAATTAACTTGTAACATTGTTACACTGATGCCATAGTTACGACATGCAAACAGTTTCCTCCATTCTGTGTTGTACTAAACTGTTTTGTTGCCTGTGTTATGGTTATTTCGGTTGCAGGCCTGATCTAATGTTTTGGAAAAAGTATGTCACAGCACCAAATGCATCAGAAGGTGTCTAAGAAACACTTAAAACCACGGGAAGTGGATAGCGGAAGTCTGCACTGCGGAGCAGAAGTTGAGATTTAAATGCCAGTTACAGTGAATGTTTTTCTTGTGTGTGCATGTGTGATGTAATACCATGTTGTGGTTTAGAGGTTTGATATTCCTCTTTTGCAGTGGCACCCACTAGTGTTAGGATCAGTGAAGCTGTAAACAACTGCCTCTGTGCAAGTAGGGAAGTCTAAAGCCACAGTCAGCAAAATGTCTCTGTTTCTTTTATGGTACGGGGACACAACCTGATACTTCAACTGACATCAAAGTGAGCCCCCTCTGCTCCCCTCTCCCCATCGATCTGAGACTGGACTCACCGGTGTCAGGGTCTGTGGCTCGCACCACAATCACAGAGGTGCCAATGCCAGCGGTCTCCCTAAGGCCCAGACGGTTGTACTGTTGCTGGGTGAACACTGGCACCTCGTCATTGGCATCGTCCACATATATGATCACCTGCAGGGGGAGACATTTGTGGCACATCAACTGTACATGAACTCTTTGAGAAACACTTTAACTCTTTGGGAAAAGGGATTCGTAGTTTTATCTATTCAGAAATGAGACATAAATAATATGTATCTGAGTGTCTGGATCCTCTGATGTCCACATTTGTTGACAAAGTCCATCACAAGGGGTCGACAGGACTGTTAATTTTCCAAAAACTAGCCACGCTTCATGCTGTTACAGACAGAACAAACTACTGCTACATAAGTTATGCTACACATTTTGCAGAAAACATGGGGATGTAACTGGCACACGTTACAGCATCATCCCCCTCAAGCTACCCTCCTCTTCCTCACCCTCACGGAGCTCCTCATGCTGCCCTCGTCACTGTTGTAGGCCACCACTTCCAGCACATGGGAGCTGCTGGTTTCTCTGTCCAGGGCCCTGCGGCCTCTTGTCACCAGCCCGGTCTGATTGTCTATGCTGAACAGATTCTTGCTGTTCCCTGCATTCATTCACAGACACACACACACACACACACACACACACACACACACACACACACACACACACACACACACACACGTCAGAGAGAGACAGAGAGAGAAAGGCAAAGTGAGACAGAGCAGGAGACTTCTACAAAAATACCTATTTTAGCAAAACATTTAATCTAGTCTGCCAATTGGATAATTAGGTTGCCTCCGATGCAAATTAACTTCCAGTCATTACTGGTATTTTCACTCTGACTGCATCTAGACAAGAGAAATTGCGGTGGAAACAAGAGGAATTATCATACCTGCCCATAGGCAGAAAAGCTTGAATCACTAACATTTTGGAAACCTTCTTGTGGACATCTTGTTTTCACCCATTTTGAACAACTGGATTAACAATGCCACCAAAATAAATCTAATGATTCAATCTAGTCACATCTTGGGAGCCTGCGCTTTCTTTGCATTTGTTTGAGAGCAAGGAGATTTCATGTGCAAAGGCCATCTGGGAGGCAAATCAAAGTACTGCAGCACTTACCAGTGAGGATCCTGTACAGCACTTGGCCGTTCTCTCCCTGGTCGGCATCTGTAGCCTGAACCTGCACAGACGAACACGAGCATAAAGTCTGCAGAACAAGTCTACAACATAAACAAAAAACATCCGGCTGCTTACGAGGTACAGCAACGGCATATATCACCCTTTACAACTGGTATCATTTCAAAATTTGAACTTTTTCATTTTGCAGTCTGACAAAAGGGATTGCTAAAATATGCATGTCATTAAGAGAGAACAGAGAAGTTGGATTTGGTCACCAGTGAGTCTTTCCTCAGTTCTCTGAGCTCTGTGGTGTGTCCATTCCCATAAATTCACCGGATAGAAAGTTCACTTTGTACACATTTTTTCAATGGTTTCTAAAAACGGATAGAAAAATCCCTATTTTCTTTCTCATTCACCACACATCCACTGGTGCCCAGTGTCTTGTTGCCACAACAACCCCAACATGGCTTGGCAGTAAGTCTATAATGGCAGAACTTCTCTCCGTCTCTGTCGCAGGCAGAGAGCCAGCAGCCGCCCAAAAAAAAACAAAAACAAAAAAAAAACGGCACAGACAGCACGGCTCCACAGCGTACACAGATAAATAGTGGAGCATGTTGGGCTGCTGCTGAATGGGCCATGTCATAAGACTGCCTTCTGAATCTAGAGAGGCACAGAGCCGCTGGCGCTGGATGAGGCTCACTTCATGTCACAGCCCGCTCCTCGTTGGATGTGTCAAACCCTGTGGAGGTGCCCACAAAGTGCATATTCAATGGCATACAGAGACACACACTCGAGTGCATGTGCGTGCACTCAGGTACGCAGAAATACAGACACACACACACACCCACACCCACACACACACACACACACACACACACACACACACACACACACACACTCACAGGCTCTCTCTCCCTGCACTTGTGTGTTCTCCTTTGCTCTCTCTCGCTCTCCCTGTGAAGAGGGGCCCAACTTCAGTCTCATTAGCTTTATAAAGAGATGTGGAGAGAAGAGGAGAAAGAGGAGGAGAGGGGAGGGGGAGACGGGAGAAAAAAAGAGGCTGGGGGGTCAGATTGGGGAGTGATGAATAGGGTATTACACAGTGGACTGCACCACTTAGGCCATAAAAGGGGGTGTTTAAAGTGTAACACCACATTGCAGAGCCAGATGTTGTAAGTGTAAGCATGTGGAGTGTAATCACAGAGAGATTAGTCACTCAGCTTGTGCAGGGCTCTGAACACACACCATTGTCTTTGGCTCCCTGGGATTAAAACAGCAGTGAGATATTTCTGTCGTAATGCTGTCGCCCACATTTTACCCCCTTTTCCTCCTTGTTGCCCTCTTCCTCCCCAGCGTTTTCCCCTCTGTCTCTGGGAAAGCAGCAGTTTAAGGGGGAAAAACAAGTGTGTGAAGCCAAGAAACAGGTCTGACCTCAGTTACTGGAACTAAGCAAGGTGCTGTTTTAAAGAGTCTCTAAAGTGTGGGTGTAAGTATACATTTTTGATGGGGTTTATTCCAAATGACTAGAGATTCAGTATTGAAGATGACATGTTAATTGCTTAGCATTTGAGTCACAAACATAATTAAATCATTTCAAATCTTATGATCTTAAGATTGCCTACAATCTAATGAATGTCTCTTAAAATCTATATTTTAAGTCTGCCATAGTGTCTTTTGGAATGAAACTCATAAAATCCAGATCTGGACATGTGAGCTGCTTGACATGTGCTTGAGTAACTGCACATTGTCTGTATGTGGAGACTGTTGTCCACATTTGGTTTAGTATTACTAGGACTTATCTGGAAGGTAGATATTAGCGAACTGAGTATTACTGTATTCCTCGTTCATATTTTTATTCCACTATGTAGAAAATACAGAGAACATATAGTTCTTATATGTATTTTGCAAGTATGCTGCTAATAAATGAACTTTACAGATTTTACAAATGTAATAGATTAGACAAATTGTGGTGGTAAAGAAGTTAAGAAATCACTGTTTCAAAACTAGCTGAGCAGTCAGATCTGAAGGAGCAACAATGTGGAGAGGAGAGTACCTTACAGCTAAGCTGCCAAGCTTAGGAGCAGCGTGCCTAATCACGAATATGTGCAGCACAGTCTGTGTGGCTGAGAAAGAAAGTTTGTTTTTGAATAGCTGTGCGTATGTATTGTGTGTGTGTGTGCGTGCGTGTGGTATATGTGCTTGGAGGCGCTGACTAATGAACTGACTCTCTAACGAGCCATCCTGCTCCACTGGCCTTTTCACAGCTTTCCTGGCATTTGGTCTTAAAAATAATTTCACGTCCCAATGTGTTTCCCTTAAACCGATAAGCCATGCTTTGTCTCCGCTGAATTAAGGACGATGACATTTACAAATGTTACTATGCTGAAGATGGGGGCGCACAGAATGAGGGTGGGGGGGTATAATTGGAGACCGGGGTAGAAGAGGTGGGTGCCTCGCATTTTACAAGGGGCATTTTAATAAACCCAATTTGTTTTACATTGAAAAAAGCCTGTCAAGCATTGACTGTTTTGTAGTCCTTGATTTAATAGCTACATAATTGCCGCAAATGCCAAACACATCTGCATGTGCTTGCAGGCGTTTCTGTGTATATTTGTGCATGTGTGCGCTTAAGTGTGTGTACGTAAATCATAAGTGTGCTTGAGTGTATGATCCCAATAAAGGGAAAATAAACCTACTCAGCTTGGTTAGGCTTGGTTAGTGAGGCAGAGAGCTGCTGTGGCACTTTAACAGAGGCTGACCACACACACCCACACACACCTGACATAGACCTCCAATCTAATGTTGTTTTCTCCATCCAGGGCCAGGACAACATGAACACCACTGAACCAGATTCCAACTTCACCTCTACACCACACACAGAAAATGTCACTCTGTCCAGCCTGACAACCAGCACCATCTCTGCCACCAGCCCACTGCCTCCATCCTATTCTCCAGACATCTTCAACCCAGAACTCACCATCATGGTGGTGCTGGGCTTATCGCTGCTGCTGGCAGGGTTAGCTGCCTTCCTGGCAGTGTGCCGGCCCTCGGAACAGGACGGTGACTCTGAGGCGAACTGCAGCCCAGGCGAGAGCTTGACCCGTGGAGGACGCCGGTCCAGCGAGCCCCAGCTCAAGGTGTGGAAGAGGCTGGGCTCGTATCGGCGTTCATACAACATCTCCTTCAGACGACCGCCCCATCGCAGGCCGTACGAGCGTGAGAGCACACACGTGTCCCGGCCTCCGGCCCGACACACACCACAGCCAGAAACCAGCGTGGAGCCACACCTCACTATGCCTTGTCTATTTGACTATGTCACCGAAATCTGACTCAAAGACAGGCTGATGGCTGACTGACTGCTTCCCACAACAAGTGATGCACTGTATATCTTACGGCTGGTGCTCCGGACGTTATTGATAACTGTTTAGGCGATCCAAAAGTCGATCATTGAAGCGGGGTTTACACATTTTTGTGACTGATCATTTCACCCTCTGCAGCAAGTAACATTGTTAGGTATGGATGTTGCTTTTTCAGCATAGCTCTCTACTATACACATAGAGGTAAAGAAATATTGTATTTATTATAACGACTCAATTCGATTAAAATTCTCTCAGCAAGAATTTGATGCATCATCAAATTCACCTTCTGCACAGAAATAAATTCCCTCTGATTTAATTACATTACATTTTTTTCCAAGCAGAATAAAAGCTGCTTTAAAAAAACTAAACAGATATAATGCACAATAATTGTACAAACAAAGATCTAACGGTAATGCACCAGTTCAAATAATGACTCCTATTTTCAAGGCCAAACTTAAGAACATTCTAAAATCCCATTCAAATTGTGGGTACAACTATCAGTCCTCTGCGTCACACTGATAATTGTCCCGATGCAGAAAACCCCCATCCATCTAGTAATTAATGTGAATGAAGACGATTTGTTTTATAAAAAAACACAATACAGTCAAGACAAATGCAACCTGAGCCAAAAAGAGATCACTCTGTGACTGATTCTTCGTGTTTTGTGATTGTTGTGTTAAGAAATAAAGTGACATTTAAGTGTGTTCCTACATGTGTTTAGCAGTGTTTGTGTTTTCTACCTGGAGGATGCTGGTTCTTTGGGGCACGCTCTCCAGTATACTGGTCTCGTAGCTGTTTTGTAGGAAGATGGGCCTGTTGTCGTTGACATCCTGCACCTCAACAAACACAGTAGCTGTGCCTGTCCTCCGGCTGCCCGCTGGACCGTTGTCTATGTGCAGAAGCAGACACATTCACAAACACATCAGCTGCAATCATTCAGGTTAATGCTAATTGAAAGGGTTGACGCCAGGACAACTAAAAAATACTTGGCTTTCATTTCATGGCCGTAAATCTCACCGGCTAAGGCCATAGATACATCACTACGAGTTGTATACAAAAATGGAACCGGTTCTGCATTAATATGTTACTTTAAACGAGCCATTGATCTTCAGAAAATAAAGCAGGAACCAAAAATCGCTTGTTATAAAGACATAAAACCGGGACATTGTTGGCTCACCGAAACTTGGGTAATTTTCAGCTGCTTATGAATTAGAACAATGTGTGTAATCCTGTTCTATTGCACAGGTTTACATTATCTCTGCCTCTTCTCCCCTCTTGTGTCTCTGCCCCCCCCCCTCAGCAGATAAGCCCCCACCCTACTCAATGGCTTCCAAAACAGGAAAACCTCAGAGTTTTTGTTCTTTCTTTTCAAACAGGAACAAAGGCAGTTGAGCAATAGTCTGAAATCACTGCAGATGTGCAGGGATCACACATTTTGCATCATTGCTGTGCAAATGTAGAAAGGAGCTGCTTTGAAGAGATCACAAACAAAACAAGCCAGAAAACATGTCCTATTATAACAAATACAAACACGGACTGTGTAAACATGAGGATGATAAAAGATGATAACGGTTTCTTGTCATTATAAAAAATGACACACCTATAGCTTCTACCACCAGCGTGTATGCTGCCTGGGTTTCTCTGTCCAGGCCGACCACAGTCCGAACAACTCCGTTTCTGAAGCCCACGCTGAATTTGCCATCCTGATTACCACCTAAACATACAAAACACAAACACATTTCCAAATATATTTACAGCATATTGGTAAAACATTGCATACATATACAGCACAGCTATGATACTAAAAGAAGCATGCAAGAGGAGCTTGCCTCATACACAAACTCACACAGAGACGGATGGTTGGACAAAAGATACTGTACGTGCACATAGTCCACATAAATGAACAACACTGTAGCCCACAGACACACAAAAAACAACTCCCACTGTGACCTCTGACCTGTGATGAAGTAGCTAAGTTCGGCGTTGAGGCCAGCGTCGTTGTCAGTGCAGCTGAGGCGCGCTACAATGTGGTCTCTAGGGACACTCTCCTTCAGGGAAACATTGTACACGCGAGGGTTGAAGGTGGGCGTCTCATCATTTACATCCAGAACTGACGCACGCACACAAACACACAGACAGAGAGACATGAGGACACACAGATAGATGTACATGAGGACAAACAAGGCAGCAAGGTGGTGCAGCGAGTAGAAAGACTATTGATGAATCAGAGGATTCAGAGAATATCAAAAAGCTTTTGTAGCTGGGTAGTGCTGGTTCCGACTCTCCTGTGAAGCTAAGAGACGTGAAACAGATCTCTACCAAACAGTCCATAATATGTTGATGCTCCTGACTCATTTGAAACCCTTATTCCGCATTTCTATTCTTTTTTTTCACCATGTTTACAGCAATCAGACTATTTGGCCCAGTTGATTTTTCACATCCCACCAGCAGGTGGTAGCATCATTCTCAGCAGATTACTGAGAAGTCAGTGCTTATCTGAATTAATGAGGTAACTCTTCCCGCCAAGCAGAATCCAACCATACCGTGGCTTGTCAGTTTCATATGTAGGGTAATTTCAGAGAGAGCAAAGGGAATTCAAAGCCAGTTTCTCATCATCATCTGCCACATTAGCAGACTCTTACCTGTGACAGTGAGGGTTGAAGTGGAGGTGCGAGGGAACTTCCCTGCATCGTATGCAATAATTCTCAAATGGTACTGTCCAATCTGCTCACGATCCAGGACTGCCATGGAGGTGAGGACGCCAGTGGAGGTGTTCAGGTAGAAGTCGAGGCGCGGCATCCCCATCTGTAACGCCATTGTTATCAATCCGTTCTTGTCCTCGTCCGGGTCCTCCACCTGGATCTAGAGCAGGAAGAGAAAGACCCAGAGATGAACACAGGAGGGTACTTCACAATGGATGGTAAAAAGAGAGATGATAGAAACTATAATCCTTTGTTTAAATGCCATAATACATGAATATAGTCTCGTATTTTACCCTAAAAACTGAGGATCCAATGGACAGTCCCTCTGGAACTTCAGCCACAAAGGGCAGGTTGAGGAAGGTTGGGTCGTTGTCATTGAGATCCAGCAGATTGACAAAGACGGTGGTGCTCGCTGATGCATGCAGTGGAGGTGTGCCATCTAAAGAGGGCGCCAGAGAACATGTAAAGACACACACATAGACACACCTCGCATGCACACACACACACACCCCACACCTCACGGTCAAAGGGGTTTATTAGCCACAGTAAAAAGTTTCATGGTCAACATAAAACTTGAGGAATGAGGTTTGAAGAAAGAGGCTGATCGGTCAGAGTTGAAAGCTCTCTATTGAGGATGATTTACAGCTATTTATGCTCGCTTACAGCTGGTTTAGGTGTTTCATGAATCAGGCAAATTGACAGTGGAAGGCAAATACAAGTGCAAGCTGACATCCCACCACATACATACACACTACTCACTGTCAACAGCTGAGATGATAATAGTCCTCATGAGTGCTGTGTCCCTGGGGTTGGAGCTTTCCCTGTCCAGGGTTACCCCACTAGTGCGGATCTTCCCTGTGCTGCTGCTGATGGTGTAGAAGGGGTTTTCTGGACTGATACTGTACATCACTGTCCCATTTTCCCCATTGTCCGGGTCAAATGCCAACACCTGCACATGGGAGAGTCAGGAAAAAAAAACTTTCTGAAACTCTTAACAACCCCCCAACACTAGGTATGTTGTTAAATGAGAGTGGGTTCAAGAGGTGAACTTTAAGACATCGGGACAGGAAGGATTAAAGATATCGGGAGGAAAGAGTGAAGGAATGAGGAAATGAATTAGCGAGGGAAAATAATTACAGTAATAGTAATGGTATTAGTAATAAGAACATCCCCATCCCACCCCCAGAGCATCTTCACACACAGCCCCTTCCAACTGTTCCAACACATCAGTCAGCTGAAAGAAAAATGGTCACGTCTCTTTTCTGACACAAAGTGGCGATGGGTGATGAATGCGTGAAGCCAGGAGCCCTGCTAAAACACCGGCTGATTCTTAAAGAGCTGATCAATTATTCAGTGCACTGACTAAAAACTCTGGAAACTGGTTAATTGGTCATTAGAGGAACAAAGGTTTTTGCAGGTATTTAATAATTAAGGGGACATGGTGGGCAGGCATCTCAGAGGCCCATTGATTAGACAGAGGTAGGTGATATAAGATGTGTGAAAGTGTCTAGTCTTCTCCAGTTCAAGCAATCAATTGTGGCCTGAGCAGAGCACATTAAAAGATGGTGAGCAAATACATTAGCCTTGTCTATTGAACTGTAGCCCTGGTCCGACTGCATTGAAATGAGTTATTAGAGGAGGCTCACTGCATGTGTAGCCGCTGAATGTAAAAGGCTGCAGTAGTGATGGTGGGGTGCTCGGAGATGTAAGTGGGATGATCCCTGCGCTGGGCACAGCGACCAAATTCATCGGCTCGCTGGACACCTCCAGGAGGACTTAGCAGGTGGCCTCTTGTCACCATGGAAACACTGGTTGGGCCGGGGCTACATTTGGGCCGGTTACAGGACGGTGAGCCTGGGTGGTCCGATTTATTGAAAAATGGTCAGACGAGCACAACAGTGTCTGTCCACTGAGCACGGAGTCACATACAGTATGCATCGCATCACTGGATGAATGAACTCAGCTGAGGAATAATGGAAAATGTAGCAACGCTTTAGCAGCACGTGTATCTTTCACTTCACTTTGCTGATCATTTCTCCATTCCACTCTCTTGCTCTGCTGGATGGGTTCTCGCTTCCTTTTCTACCTAGAAGCTAAATAATTTGCTATGCGTATGACTGCAGGCTACATTTTAATTAGCAATCGGACTCCCTTAACACATTGCCAAAGACACGAGGACGATGAGAGACTTTGGGGTAATATTAGAGTGTTTACTTAGCAATGACCTACGCAGTAATGGCAATTCGTCCATCAACAGAGGAGGACTACGCATGCAGATGCATCCATCAACATGTACTGTTTTTCATCTGCAGTATGCCGCCCAATGAAGACGGTTGTATTACAACAATGTTCAATCTTCAACACTTTAAATACTCTCCTCTAAAACCTCTAAGGTTTTTATGAAAACACACTTAAGTTTGCAAAGTCAGAAATAAATTCCTTATGTTTCACTAACTGTCCATTCTACTCAGAATAAAGTAAATGATAAGAATTATCATTCCTGTGTGTTCAAACATTATCATTTGGTTAAACATTTACATTTACCAGGTTGTTTAGGTGTACTCACAGAGATAACATCAGTGTTCATTGGACTCATCTCCACTACGTTGGTTAGGAATGGCTCGTCTCTCCACACAGGGGAATTGTCATTGATGTCCAGGATGGTGATGTTCACCTAAACAAAGTGGGAGTGAAGGGAATTATGGTAAACGGGAAATGAGCTATTTTTGACGTCAGTTTAAGAGAGAGACCTTTCATAGCAGTACGTCAAAGTGCAGTATATATGTACGTCCAAAAGAATACAATTTCATCCCAAATAAGCATTGATTTAAACAGTGGAGAGGAAACTGGTTTGTTCTGTGGAAAGACAATGGCTCTAAAGTGGTTACCGTGGCAATGCCAGTCTTTTGCTGAGGTCCCACCCCTCCGTCCACAGCTCTGACTATCAGGATGTACTCTGCTTTCACCTCTCGGTCCAGCAGGGCCGTGGTGGTGATCTCTCCTAAACACACGTAGAATCAGATCAACATTATACAAAAATAAATCAATTCAAAAAAGCAACAACCAGGACAACTCAGTGAAGGCCACACATGTTTCAAGGCAACTCTCGTGTCAAAATAAAACTCAAATGCAAAAATACGCCACCAAGTAGAGAGCTTAAGAAAGAAACAGAAAAAATATATTGCAGGCAGATCTATATCATGTTCAGGCCAAGTATGAACTGACTGCAAAATTATCTCAAGAAATTCAAATTTAAAATGAATGTCTTGATTACAAGTATACTTTCAGAAAGAACTCACACTTTTACATGGGCCCACACACCCACCCACACACACACACACACCTGAGCGCGAGTTGAGACGGAACTGAGAGGAGCCCTCCAGGGAGTAGATGAGTGAGGCTTGGCCATATTCCCGGGAGGCGTCCAAATCAGTAGCATTCACAAGCAGCACAGTCGCCCCTGTGGAGGACAGGGAGGGATGAAGGGAGTGAGACAGAAAGAAAGTTGCAACTCATGGAGTGGGATAAAAAGAAGTGAACTTGAGTCATGGGAAAAATATGTGAAGACTATAAAGAGAGAGAGACAAGCTGCAGAGACGGAGTGATGTGGCATTCAGAGAGCTAATTTCTTCACCGCCCCCATCCTCAGCTCAACTGATGCCATGGCACTGAGTGGGTTTATGGATTAGTAGATTATCAGCTTGTTTGGCACAGCCTATACTTGGCACAAGCCTGATCAATACCAAGGCCGACAGGGGGATGAGAGGCTAGCCAGAGCCGCAGGGCTAGCCCTGAGCGCGGCCTTGCAGCCCACGCCTTAGGCCCCCAGCTCGGGGCCAAGCACTTTAGCCATAGTCCCCTAAACCTCAGCCCCGGCCCAAGCCGCTCAGCTATGTGCTCAGCTATGTGCTCAGCTATGTGCTCAGCTATGTGCTCAGCTATGTGCTCAGCTATGTGCTCAGCTATGTGCTCCTTTAAAGCGGGTCCGAGACACAGAGAGTGGCCAGTGTCTGCTAGAGCTCAGAGAGAGAAAGGGGCGGTCAGACATTTCATTTCCCTCCAGCGACTGGAAACTAATCTATTGTCTGGGATAAAAGAGTTTTCTAAATGCATGCATGACAATGAATAGAGCAGCCAGTTATTTTGCCGTGAATAGTCAATATCCTGCATTCGGACGGAGCAT